CACTAGCAGGTTTTAAGATTAATAATCAGAAGATGAAGATGTTAACAAAAAATATGAAAATAGAGGATCAAACAGAATTGATGAAAACAGGTTTTATGAGAAAAAAGTAAAGTATTTAGGCATCACCATGACAAATATGAATTGTATATTATTTCAAAATAATTACATTAAGACATGGAATGAAGTTAAAGAAGATGTGTTAAGATGGGAGAAATTAAAGTTGTCATTGTTGGAGAGAATTTCTGTGATAAAAATGAATGTTTTGCCTAGAATTATGTTTTTGTTTCAGACAATACCAGTTTTGACAACTGATGCACCATTTAAACAGTGGCAAAAGGATGTATCTAAGATGGTATGGCAAGGGAAAAAACTACAAGTTAAATATGTTACAATATGCAAAGGAAAGAGGAGGATTGGGTTTACCTGATTTGAAATTGTATTTTGCAGCTTGATGTTGGTTTGAATTAAAGAGTGGGTGCTGCTGAGAAATAGAAGACTTTTAGAGTTAGAAGAACATGACTTGAGATTTGGGTGGCATGGGTATTTGTGGTATAATAAGTTAAGGTTAATGTAGATTTTAAATATCACTATGTTAGACGTGCCATATTGAGAATATGGAATAGATACAAATCCAGATTGTACCCAAAACGCCTTTGTGACTCTCAGCACAAGAAGCATTTTATAGACGAAAAATAATAGGCAAACACAAATGCTTAACACACCATGAGATACTAGAATTCTATCAAGGGGAATACAAAATAAAGAGAGCAACTAATGACAAAGGGACATAATTGTCAATGGTTTTTCTATTTATAGTTATCAGAAAGATTCAAAGTAGACAAAAGAATTTATGGTATTAAGTATTCTAAGACTGACTTTGAAATGGAATTATGTATAAATGAACATGTGATTGCTAAAATGTATAAACTTTTATTGAAATTTGAAACAGAAGAACAAGTGAAAGAATGCATGATAAAGTGGGCTAAAATTTTCAATTATAATATACAAATGGAACAATGGGAAAATATGTGGTTGAAAGGATTGAAATTTACACTAAGTTATAATCTTAAAGAGAACTTTTATAAAATGTACTGTTGGTATATGACACCAGAAAAATTATCTAGAATGTATAAAGGTACAGTGGTACCTCTACTTATGAACTTAATCCGTTCCGTGACTCTGATCGCAAGTCGA